AAATGACTCATTTAATCATCCATAACATTATGGAACACATTAATTAACTGAAAAATGTTGCATAGTGTGCCTTTAAAGTACCTATTTTTACTGAGTGAATGTTTTTACTACTCAGTACCTGGATGTAGATCAGAAACAACCTTTTACCACGATTTTGTTTCTCTTTTTTTAAAAGGCAGAGGCATATTTAACCACTGGACACTGTTATCAACTGGATATCTGTTTGTCGTTTAGATAGAGAAACAGCTGTTTATGAACTGAACCAAACGATATGAAGAAGTCACCTTTAGCTCCGTCATTGTCAGAGTATCAGCTGGGGGACTCAGAGCCTTCTCTGAAATCTTCTCAAAATCAGTGCAGAGCCTGTTTGAATGAGAAAGGATCTTTATTCTGGTGAAATGTGGGAAGGACCTTGGTGCTGGAAGCAGGAATATCACTGCTTCTAATTCTCCATTTCCTCTTTTTTATTTCTTTCTTTTACAAACTGGATGTTTAACTTAGTTTAAAGTCTATTAAAATCAACTTTCATATTAACAGTCAAAACCAACGAACCTTCTGTTGATCCCCTGATGGTCCTGTAACATCTTTGTCGTCAGTTTCTGATTCAGCTCCTGAGCACGTTCGACCAGAGAGCCGAGGAGTCGGTGGGAGTGCACCTCAAACATGCCGAGCCGAACTACCTAAGGTCCAGAACATCAGCACACATCGATCAGACTAAATCGTTCTATTCCAAGGGTTTAAAGAACATAGAAAAAATGAAATTGCGCAGCTTTTAAACTTTCTACATTTTTATGGTACTTTAATAGAAAATGTTCTAAATTACCATTTTGCGAGCCAAAAGTTTACTGAACTATCATCACCCATTCCAGGTAGGCAATAAAAAGTTCTACTGGATTCACTTTGTTTTAGTCTTTTTCCTGCTTCACAAAGGTAGGCAGCAACTTAATAAAGCCATGATGGCAATTATTTTACATCCAAGTAGTATGCAGTTCTTCATATATACACACACACATCAATTTCAAACAGATGGTATCGGTATGGTATATGTATCGGCCAATACTGCACACTCAGGTATCGGCAGAAAAAATGACACCAAAGAATAGTGAACAACTTACTAAAATCAGACTATAAATAAAGTAAATGATAAAATGGTGCTGTTATACAGCAGCTATAGTTCATTGACCTGACTCCGCCAGATGGATTTACTCCGCATATTCATCTGGAAACCTTCCG